ACACATGGTACGATTTGAGTCAAGATATGTAACTACTTCGGCTACGCTGACATTAACGAGAGATGATTACGGGCTTACTTCGCCATCACAACTGGTCCTCCCTCAGGGACTGATCTGTCCCGTACTCAGGTGACGACCGCCTAGGCGAGGTCGAGGACGCCCAAGAAAGAACCGGCAAGAAGTCTTGTTACGCACCCTTCGACATTTTTTTCCGAAATAAAACAGGTCTGTGACTGTCCCTCAACTGCTTCGGGGTGTGCATCCCTCCGGCTTCTGCGACTCGGACGCCGATAGTCCTCCCTCCGGACGCTGCACTCGTCCGTCTCTCTGACCATCATTAACACCTAGACCTTGTTTCCTTTTTTGTTCGTCCTAATCCTTTATTAAGGAAAGTGTTCCTCGTAGTTTTTCGAGTGCTCCCTTTTTTCGTGATCAATCCGGAACCTGCTATCAAATGGTGACGTTCTAATTTGCTTCTTGACCGGTTTCAGACTCCTATCCTTTGTCCCAAAATTCGTCCACGTCGCACGTCATCGACCGTTAGTCACGTCTACTTCGTCGTACGACTCCTCCACTCCAACCGCCCTTGCGCTTACATCATCGGTGCCCCGGGTCGGTCCCTATGTATGTGTGTCTGTTTGTCCCTGTTTTGTTTGTGTCTGTTCCCTTTTTCTTCCTCCTTCAATGACGGCCTAGGAGTGTTTTTATACGACTGCTTACTTACGTTTTAGGTCCTAAGCTGCTGGGTTTGGTAGTTTTTCTGTTGTATCTTATCGCCCTGATATGCAATCTCTTCTCGCGCCACAGGGCACAAATTTCCCCACGTAAAGTTACAGTTATTAAACTGTGTTGTGGCCGTGAACGGAAAACTATTTTCAGTTACGCTTTTTGGGCGTGAGTGTGTCCATCGCACCGTCTACTTCCCGTTACTTTTGAACATGTCGGAAAACCGCTCCACCTTGAGCAGAGATGTCGTGTCCGGCTTTTGCGACACGTTCCACAGTGAAATGGGTAGAAAAAGAAAAAGAAAAAAAAAGAGTGCGACAGGAGGGGACGTTCCGAGAAACCGCGGTTGGTCGCCCCTCGCGCCGCGAAGTGTGAACTTATGACGACGCAGATTACCTATCACCTCCCACGCGAAACTACTAGCATTGCCGAACGCGTCTAGTTTAGGGCGGACGTTGTGGTGATGATCAACACGGGAAGTCAATTCCGTGAATCGGGAGTCAAATGAGGTACCTCTTACAGGGATTAACGAGTAACATTTAGCGAAACCTTATTCCGGCAGACGATTTACGGATTTAAATAAAAACCCTCTTATTTGGGGTGTCTAGGAGTTGAGGGCACATAAGAGTGAGTAATTGTTCGCGTTGTGTCTCGCTTGCTTCTTGCAGCATAGATGTCACGTACTTGAGCGTACACTAACCCTCGCCCCACGCCTGTGGTTTATTAGACCCTCCAGAAAAACGCGATTCTGCGATCACAGAATTTACCGCATAATCAGCAAAATGGCGCAGATTTCTAAAAGGCCGCATATTTATCAAAAGGCCGCATAATCCCCGCCTTTTTCCACACAAAATTGAGAAAAAAAAGTTAACTCGTCTTGACGTGACGTCATCAGCTCGCGCATCACAGAATGTAAACAACACTGTATAGAGTGAACGTGTGGAGCTCACACGATAGAGAAAACACCAAGATGAAAAAATCTAATCCATCTCATTTACCGACGGACATTTCTACTAAAGACCGGGCAAAAAGTGGGGGGAAACTATTCTGCACCCCGTGCAACTGTGTGTTGGAGCATAAGAGAAAATCGACGGTGATGACCCACTTTGATTCATTCAAACATTCGAAAATGCTTTCTGCTGCTGCGGACAAGAAAGCCAAACAACTCACATTCACCGAGGCATCAACCTCCAAAACCCTTTCGAGGCTTACAAGAAACGAAGTGAGTAGCCTACAAGATTGAAGCTGGTCAGATAACGAACGAGTAAATGAAAACGGAATGAGGCGGAGAAGTGTGTGTGTGTGTGTGTGCGTGTGTGTGTGAGATTAAAAAAGCCCAATTGCTTTTACAATAAATAAACATTGAATGTGTTTAATTTAATAGTAAAGGGGTTTAACGTTAGTGGCAGGTTGTGTGTGAGAGAGAATAAATAAGACAGCCCAATATTTAAAAAAATTGTTATTCTTTTCCCCCGCATATTTAGCATATTTGGCAACTTTCCGCATATTTCGCAACTTCCCGCAATTTCACCGCATAAAATCACATAAAAACCCCGCATTTTTAATCGCATAATCAAGGATTTTAGCCCGCATAATCAAGGAAGTTAGCCCGCATAATCAAGGATTTTTGCCCGTGTTTTTCTGGAGGGTCTACTATGCTGTTGTTCTGATCAAAAGTTGTGTTCAATGGCATTAAAACGATAAAAACGCTGCTAAAGGTTAATCCATAGGTTAATCCAATGTGTCTGTCACTTTGAAATGATTACTGATAATCCATCTTCATATTTATGTCAATAACGGAGTTTTCATATATAGCTGCTATGATAGCTACGAGAGTGTATGACAGCTTCCGGTTTTGGGCATTCTGGCTACACATCACTCTATTGACCAATGGGTAATGTTTAGATGGATTGTAGGAACTTCTCCTCTATTCTATTGGCTCTAACGGTTCAAAAGAGGTGTCAATCATCACAATCGTCCAATGGGTTCCAGAGATATGGCAAATCCACCCAAAGGACCCCAGAAGTGGGGTTTTTTCTAAATCTCTCTAAAATGTCAAATGTCACTTGTTTTGCATCAATCTTGATACAGGGTACTTATATGTTATAGTTTGGATTCCTAAAGCTTTTAGTCTCCGATCCCATCATTCAAGGGTAGTTTTCATTTTAAGTAATGGTTTTCTTTTGGACGGACACTATAATTTACATTTTTTTACTATGTTCAATATAATATAATAAAAAAAATAATATATACATTTACTTTAAAATAAAAAGATTCTATATTGATTCTGACTTTTCTAAATCCAACTCACAGGTTTATCATTGCTTTGAGAAAAAAGATTATTAATGTACCCCTTTTAGAAGGGAAGATATAGTCAATTGTTCTGGGCATGTCATTTCCGAGCCTGAGGCATGAAAAACAGGCTCGGGGCTCAACTGGTTTTAAACAAAAAAATATTCCAAAATATACTTTCACTCTTGCATAATCTCACTAAAACGACATGGCTAGAGCATAACACATTTACAAACAACTGTAATACTATAAGAAGCTGGAGAAACATACAAATATGCAAATATCACGCACACAGGCTTTTTCCACAAATCCTTTGGTATACATATTTGGTATTGACTTGTGCCAAGGCAGAAGTGAAGGAAGAGATAAAGGAAGAAGCATTTATAATGGGGCATTCATCGTTTATTGTTTTATTCCCCAATAAAAAAGACATTTATGCTTCCCATTTAAAATTATTATTGCAAAGTCGTGATGAAACAAGAGTGATAAAAGTCAGGTATTGAAGAAACTGGTTATTAAAAACGCAGCTATCATCAGCATTCATATTTAATGAATGTGTTAATGTTTTCACTGATTGCCATTTCTCCAATCTTTGCTTATTCCTGTATTTTACTTGCACCACTGTATCAGTTGCACTTAGCTGGTTAACTCTGTTGTAACAGGTCAACCGTCGAGATATCCCACCCCTTAATACAATGTGTTGGAGCGCTAGCCAATAGCAGGCAAGGGGGTGGGGGATTTGTTTTGCTTTTGCAGATCATTTAACACACTACATGAAAGGGAAACCCCCAAAAGCATAATAGGGCCTCTTTAAAATTGTATTGCCAACAACTGCACTTTAGCTACTGTGCATTGAAAATAGAAACCTCTGCATTGTGACTCTTGAGCTGATTGGTCATGTGACCTTCTCACCTGTGATGATGTCAGTGAGGTCTTGGTCGTGGGTCTTCCTCAGCAACCGGACCAGAGCGGGCACTCCATCGCAGTTCTTGATGGCGATCTTGTTGTCGTGGTCTTTGCCATATGAAATATTCTTTAGCGCTCCACAGGCTGCGTAGTGAACCTATAACAAAGATTAAGAGGTCATTGAGCCATGAGTAACAATGGAATAGCACTAAGGCAGAGCACTGCTCTCACATACATGGATTCAGTGTAGGAGTAGTAGTGCAGTAGTGGCGTGTCTTTATGGTAGATTGTACATCACTGATTACACAGCTCTGAGGTTTTCTACTCGTGCAAGTCATCATCTATATTTGATAGTCGGCCACATACTTAAACGTAATGCATGTTTTTCTGAATTAACACGACTATTATCGGAGTTTTCTGTTAAAAATGTTCATGGGAAAAATCTGTTAGTTTTTTCTAAATACCAAAATACCTATACATCTCAAGAGAAGCTCTCGTTACCTTAGGGCTCAATTTCATGAAGACAAACAGTCCAATAGTTTAGTGAAATAAAACTCATCAATCTAAACATGTCGTGAGTGTAACTGAGATGCAACAGCCTGATTGTCTCTTGGTTTACCACCATGTCAGATGGATTATATCTGTGAATTATCTGAAGTACGGTATGTCTTATCGGTCCATAGGATCAGAATGAGCTTAACGTCTCAACTGCAAAACCCTGAGGGGCCCACACAAATACGACAGACTAATGAGAAACGTTCTCAAGATGCAGTCGCTGTTTGACCCATTTCTCCAGCCAGTAAGTCATCCGACACACTCAGACATCAAACTTGTCCCTGGCTGTAGAGCAGAGGTGCCCAGTACGTCGACCGCAGGGGCAATGCTGGTAGATCGCGAGTCATTCATAAAAAAACAATCCAGCTCCGTTAAAATAGACAAAACAGGTTTTGATCCCTCCTCCCTTGGCCTCCCAGCCACTTAATACAGGAGTTTCTTGATTGACAGAAAAATCGACCTATCGCTTTCCAGTCTGTTAACCCAGAATGCAAAGCGATACAAAATCAGTCAAGTGCCGGGAAAACTCAAATTAAGAGGCAAACAAGAGACAAACAACAAAATGAGTGCGGGACCGAGCAACAAGCTAAAAATATACCACTTCCACCCAGAATGGGAGGAAGAATATTTGTTTGTGATGTCACATTCAAAGGTTATTTGTCTTATTTGTAAAGCAAGCGTCGCTCTGCCAAAGAAAGGTAACGTGGAGAGGCATTATCGGAGTGTTCACAAGGCATATGACAGCGACTTCCCTCCGAGTAGCGAGTTGAGAAAGAGAAAGGTCATGTATTATTGCTACAAAAACATTATCTCGCAGTCTTAGTGTCGCCAACTCGTTTCTAACATGCAAAAAGACAAACAAATGCGTCTATGGTCGGTGTATTTTCGATCTTTCCAATCGAGGCGAGATCTCTCTCCCCCGTCTGTGTGCGAGGGGGCGGGGCAGTTTACACACACGCAGCTGCTACATGCAGGAACACACGGCGGGCATGGCGGAGAGAAATGCTCCAAGGTGTGGTTAAATGTTACCCGTCTTGAGGTGGACATTGCTCTTTGCCAAGAGTGTTTAGCATGTAGGGGCGGTAACACGAGCAATTTGTCTAAACATTTAGCAAAAGTGCACCACATTCAGACGGAGGAATGCACCGGGTTCGACTGTCTTTCTAGTAGCGCTGTAGCCCCCCCATCCACAAGTAACATTTACGTCAGGTGTTATGTATGCAAGCAGCAACACACGCAGTTAACACTATTATACAAACATGGGTTAATGATTAGAGGTAACTGAGTTACTCTTTATTTTTGTTAAAGTTTCAGCTATTCTGTTTACAGTTCTGTCATCAGATTATTTAATACCATTTTGTAAAACGTTGTTTCTTTTGATGTGAAATATTATTTATTTAATTAATAAAAAGCTATGTTAATTTTGTTCACAATTTGTTTAGTTTATTTAATAATATATGTATTTTTGAATCAAGTATTCATCTTTATTGTCTTCATTGTTAGTTTCCACATGCCTAAAACAACCTCAAGCTAAATATAAAAGTTGATGGCTAAATAAGAGCGTTTGAGAAATTGTGCAAGGCAGTAATAGTCCGAATAGTCGATTAATCATTTCATTAATCGATAGATTAATCGATTATCAAATTAGTCGTTTGTTGCAGCCTAGTTGTCCCATGTATAAATAAAACGTGTTATTCAGCAACCCTTGCAATTTGGAATTCTATTTTTGGTTGGTAGACCTCGGTGAGCTGGTCATTTCAAAAGTAGTTCACCAGCCAAAAAAGTGTGGGCACCCCTGCTCTAGAGCATGTAACGTCAAATTTAGATGTCTCTCTGCTTTCAGAACGGAATGCATGATGTGGTTTGTCTGGTAATGCCCACACTAAGATCAGCAAAACCTAGCCACAGCCTCTGCTAAATGAAAGGGAATCATGGAGAAAGAAAAACGTACAGAATGTTTTGGCTAAAACCATATTTAGCACAAATGTTGACCTACAGGATTTGACCAAGAGATGTCAAACACTTAATGCTTATTTCTAGTTCCTTTGTTGAGTCCAATGAACACACGCACTGTTACTTAACAAATACACTACATCCCTTAAGCTTCTCTTTTATCCCACCTAGTCCTGTCCAAACACCCTTCTATTGAATAAGGAATGAACAGAATCAGGACTCACCTCTCTGTTTGGGTTGTCGAGCATACAGACGAGTGCTGGGATGCCTTTCATTCGACGCACATCAGTCTTGACCTGGAAAACAAAAGAATGGACATAAAGCGGAGATGTGGAAGGGGGCTGCTTTAAAGCGGCCTTCAATGCTCATATTCAGGTTTCATATTTGTATTTTGTTCCTCTACTGTAGGGCTTCTCAAACCCCGGACCTCCGAATCCGGACCGAACTACAAATCAATCCGGACCGAACCCTGTGTCCCATTAGAAAGAAAAAAAAATTATACAAAATAAAAAAATAAAAACGTTCTGATTCTGATGTAAATTAATGTATATGTTCTTGTGTCTGACGCGCTGTGAGAATGAACGTGCATGTATATTTACTTGTGTGCTCGAGCGTGAAAAATATTTTAAAAAGCAAGTTTACCTAATGCTTTGAATGCCTTTTTTGCCAAGGTTCAAGGCTTTGGCTACAGACAAACAGTATATACTGTGTGTGTGTGTGTGTGTGTGTGTGTGTGTGTGTGTGTGTGTGTGTGTGTGTGTGTGTGTGTGTGTGTGTGTGTGTGTGTGTGTGTGTGTGATTAGAGAGTGCTTGGACCAGAAGGGGGCCCCCATAGAAGGTAGATTAAGAAGGTCCACAGCAACGGCCACATGAAACACCCTTTAATTTACTGCAAAGATATGGTACATGTTTCTCTATAAAGCCATGTTGGGTAAACTACCAACTTATATATGCTCTCTGATCTCACAGAGAGTGGCAAGTAGCTATTGCCTGAAATCCCAGGATGTGTTTTTATTACATGTGCCAAGTGCTAGGACTGTTTTAGGTACAAAAGCTTTTATGTGTGCTGCTCCTCGAGCTTGGAATATGCACATGTTTTTGAAACTGAGCATTTTGGTTCCCCTG